AGTCATTTATTGTCTCTATTTATTAATCAAAATACGTTTCGGTGTATTTTTCCACCATCATCAGTTTTTATGTGTAGCGTTGTTGCTGCTTTAAGGCCATTTTTTGCCATGATCGCATTTCTAAACGATTTCAAGTGCATTTTCTGCTAACCATGTAATTTTTTAGGATTAATATCGATTACAACCATAACAAATTTTTATCTGCAGATCAAGATTGAAATCGTTATAAATTTGTACAGTACGTATTTAGGCCAGTTTTGTTTTAGGAATATTCTCAAAATTACGATACATTTTAAATTGAAAATACATGTTTTTTGTTTTTCATAGCAACACTAAAACGTAAACGTACGGTAAAAAAAATATACAAGTTCAAATATAGGTACCCCTTATTTAATGATGACCCAATACATAGGTATATGAAAATCAACATTACATAACTGTTTTAGACGAACTTTATATCGTTGTAGATGATGAATCGAACATCAAAGCATTTACGTGAAGACCAGCACAAAACCCTTTTTAGAAAGGCGATTTATTGGTGCAGATGAACCGGTTGCAAGCTTAACCGTAAACTCGGTTTGTAATTCTATCTTTTGCTTAATGCCCAATTTCTTAATGTTATCTTTATTTTGCCTGAACGTAACTAATCACACTCATATCCATAACGAAAACATTTTTAAGTCTGATTACGATAGCAATTTGAACGCGATGCTCTATATTTGACATAATACCTTTTCTTCTGAAACCAAAATGAACTAATTTTAACGAATATGTGAATTAATTTCAACTAGTTAAGTCTATGGAGACTCAGACTCAATTCAAAGTCATTTTATGGTAGACGGTGTTTTTTCACTTAATTTTAGCTTTCATTCGGTCTAAATTGGCTTTTTATATACGATTTATACCAGTTTCTACTTACGCTGCACTACATGTCACTTGGAACGATGATTTGCATATGGCAGCAAAAACGCCAACATCTTCAGGTCTAATGTACTCGGACAAAAGAAACCAGATGTCAATTGGATATGTTTTCCCTCCTTCATTTTTCCGATTATATTTGTGATTTGATAAATTAGTGTGTCTTCTGTTTTTCGTTTTAGACATTTTCATATAATATACTGCTGCCTCATCTTCGTCACTAGATAATGCATCTGTGAGTAAATTTTATAATTTTTTTAATGCTTTAATGATTTATAATACCTATTACCTGTAACGTGCGGTAGATTTTCGTCTTTATCTTTGGCTTTTTCCACTTCTTTCCTGAGCGCTCTGTTTACATTTGTTAACAACTTCTTCGCTCTGTTCTTTGGAGCCGTTGAGTCAGCATAATCAAGAACAGTTACATCTGAAAGCAACATTGGTGTTGAATCGTAATAAATTGAATACTTTTATATTCAGCTATACAGCACCGACTCCAAACTAAGTTCTAATAATCATTTTATTGTATTACTTGTTTTCTTAGATTAATTTAGTAAGTTTAATTAATTTTCTAAATAGTACATACTTTTCTGATTGTGTTTCAATTCCAAATCAAAATCAATTCCTGGGCTTCAGTCATTTATTGTCTCTAATTGTCAATTAAAATACGTTTCGGTGTTTTCCACCATCATCAGTTTTTATGTGTAGCGTTGTTGCTACACTAATGGACAAAATTAATACTCCAAATATATGCCAAGGCTTAAAGTAGCAACAACGCTACACATAAAAACTGATGATGGTGGAAAACACCGAAACGTATTTTAATTGATAATTAGAGACCATAAATGACTGAAGCCCAGGAATTGATTTTGATTTGGAATTTCTAAATAGTAACACTTAATTTCTTAATTTGTTACTACTGTTTTCTAAGATGTTTTGTTTCTTGGCATAAAGTAGCGAATTTCGACAATTTGTAGAGAGATGCATATAGTACCTAATTGAATTGGCATTATGATTGTTGAAAAATAGAGAAAGGTATTGAATTACGATTATTGCTTCACTGATTGAATATATTTGTCCGAATAATTTGTTTTCTATGCAAGTAGGTTTGTACCTACAACCTATTTTTTGGTTTCCATAATTCTAGATATAGATACGATATACAAATAGCCAATCTTCCCAATATATTGCACAATATCATCTAGATAGTGTGCAAAATATATTACCATGCCCCATTCGGAAAGTCCAAAATGCTTAACGATCCTGATTTAAAACAGAAACTGGGCTTTAGAACGCCGAAGCTATTTGTTTTTCCTCTACCCAATTGAATTCAAATTAATTATTCGGAATTTATCATTTTCCGAATTTGATTTCCAGAAGTTTTTAAATGGGCAATGATTTAATTTCTAATGTGACTCTTTATGAGCAACAATTTATGTTTGAGGTGTATAAAAGGCACTTGAATACCTATTTTGATTTTTTAATATACAAGGGGGTTCATGACCAAAAGGCATTATTTAAACCACGTATTGAAAGAGAGTCCGAAAATAACCCTAGTTTGCTTTATAAACGATAGCCCAAAGATCTTTCGTTACGGATTTACAGGGTGTTGAAATTTAATTAAAAATATGCAAAATGAGAAATTTCTTCAAAACGCATGGAGATATTCTAAGGAAATTTTCCAGGGACCAATAGCTAAGAAAGACAAATCTTTTGCAAAAAACAATTTTGTTAATTTTCGCGAGTATACTAGGGCACCTGCACGCTACCGAATTTGTTAAAGGAAAAAAATGGTACGCTAGTGTATTTTTTATTTATTGCAAATAATTTTGCAATTTGTTTTAAAGCAATTGAAGGTTTCAAGACAGGAAAGACCTAAATGAATATAATGTTTACCAATTATGAGTTTGAATTAATTTTAAAAACTGATGATGGCGCTGTTGGATCGCCGAAACGTAACGAAATAAAAGATATACAAAAAAAATTATTTCACACTGAGATTGGAGCCCAGGAAAAAAAATAATACCATTCGAAATGAATATAAAATGTATATTGATCAACTGATTTGGCTCCGACTTGCTGGCAACGGCCAAAGACAATCTTGGGTTTATGTTCAATCGAAGTTAAAATAGTAAAATCGACACTTTACCTCCTAAACTACTTACTGGTCCTTTCTTCGACTTCTTAGGCATGGCAGTGGCAAATTATCAAGATAAAAAAAGTGAAGAACTTATAGTACTGTTTTAAACTAACACTGAACATCGGAATCTACAATTCACACATTAATGCGCTAAATTTGCAGTGCAGCAAACTAAATACACTATTCAAAATAATCACAGAGACATAACCTTAATTGCGCTTTGATGAGCATAAACATGTCAAATAATTTATTAAACAGCTGTTTGAGTTGCGCTGTTTATCTGTAAGTGGTGTTGCCATATTTATTGAAACTTTTCAGCGTACAACCACTAAAAACCATTTTATGCTACTTGCAGTAGCTAATCTCGTTATTGAGCCTCATAGTTTATATGAAAAGTAGAAACTCTCATAAAATGCCACATATTAAAACCGATTTGGCAAATCTATTTGTATGCCAACCCGCGCCATCTGTGAGATTTGACTGCAATCCTAGACAAAGAATGGGGAAATCTGCATTATCGGTTGAAAGGGGCTAGTTTGACAGAGATTTTATTCATGGCTGTCAACTAGATCAACTTTATGTATCTTGTGTATGTAGCTAGCAGATATTATGGGAATAGAATATCAAGGTGTGTCGTAAATAAAATGAAATAATGTGTATATTTGTAAATAAACAATTAATGACAATGTGCTTATGTGAATATGAAGCCCGGTTTCAGTGCTTACGACCGTCGTTTAGCTAAAAAGAAAATCGGGTATTTAACGTAGGGTTAAGGAAGTTCCTTAATATTATTTATATTTTCTTCCAATTGAGAATTCGAAATATAAACTCGTAAAATGTGGAATATGATGTGCGACGTGATGCCGACTATATCGGAGGATAGTATAAGCCAACGGAGTTCCCAGTTTTCGGGCGAAGACGCGAATTTCGAACAGCTAATGGTGTCTATGCTGGACGAAAGGGATAAGTTAATGGACAGTTTACGGGAGACACAGGAACGACTAGGAGAAACGGAAATCAAATTGTCGGAAGTGGAAAAAGAACGGGACTCCCTACAGCGACAAATAGCAGCAAATTTACCACAGGTAAGTCACTGACAGGCGCATATTCAACGGCGCTATCAGCCGATTCTACTTTTAGGTACACTTTGGGCATTATTGATTCTTTTATATGTTTTAATTTAAGATGCTCTCATAAATGGCCCATGTGCTTGGACTTAATTGGTAAAACTCACTCAAAATCTCCTGAAATTATATTCTTTCACCCATTCAAAATATGTGGAAAATTATTCTTATTCTACTCAAATCGGTTTCCTAAACTGCCACATCTTTCAGGAAATATTATTTTAATCATTCAATGCTCAACAATGTACCTACTTAGGTAATACCTATTCAATTAATATCCCCACATCTTCGGTAGGTAAGAATGTTGCTGTCAGCAATTGCTAAAGTGACCGATATGTTCTATTCACTGATTCTTGTGTACCAACTATTAGACCACTGCTTTTTATTTTTAACAATTGAATTAAATTCACTACTGTCTTTTCTAAGAATTAAATTAAATTTAAACATAGTCACATTAAATCAACAGATTTTTTTTATTATTCTCATATTATTTCTTGTGTTTCTATCACTAGAATTGATATTTTTCACTAAAATATTGGAAAATCGTATACACATATAGAATTATTTGTATAATCAATTATACTAAGTATTCCACTTCCTTAATCATCGATTTTAGATTATTCGTTGCTATCATTATAATATCCTTGTATTCCTATAATGTGTTAAAGTTACCAAGGCGTTAATAATTTGGTCAGCTTCAGAAGAAACACAATTTGGAGTAACGTGAAAATTTCAAAATATTGTCAACAATTTCAATTGGACTTTCTTTTGTGCTTTCCGAACAACTGTGTTGATTACTGCGTTTTTTTTTCGAAATTGTTATGGTTTTTAATCAGTTTATACTGATACTATTTCGTACCACTTTTCCGGTAGGCAGATTTTTGCGACACTTTTTTGGACAAACAATGAAATCATAATTCTTAAATTAAGTTTTACTTAATGTTAATGGGATAACTTTATTCACTTCAAAAATATGTTCCCTCAGATTACTTAACAGTTATGGGTATCTGTAACACATTTCATATCGTAACAAATAGTTAATACTTTGCAAGCTTTGAACCGTAATCTCTAGGTCAAGCTAAGTTTTGATTCCAAATTAATCGTTAATTATCAGATTACATCATCACTGGCAACCTTTCAAATATCTATACTATCTATACCGTTGAGCAATTGTTGTCATACTTACTTAATCTCTAGTTGTTATATTACCTATGTTCTATGACAAGAGGTACCAGTTTCGACAGTTATTCATCAAATGAAATTTCTATGTAGTTATCACAAACAAAAATCTCTACTTACTAGTTAGCCTCTCCAGATTATCTCTTCATTTTTGCACTTGTGCGTAGTGTTTCCTCTTAGTGCAACCTACTGTAATGGCAATTTTTGATAGTAAACAGCAAATATTTCTCAAAGGTTAGCTGCAAATAAACATTAGCATTCCACGTACTTATACATTGAATGTAGTGCTCACAGGTATTACTAGGATACTTCGAAAATTGTCTTATAATATTAGCTCCTTCAAAAGATATGGATGTCCATGAATAGTTGAAAATGTGCATTTCATAGTCATGGTATTTTACGAAGTGGATTTGTCTCAAAGGCACTCAATGTAACACATGTAACTTTTTTAGTTTTGTTTTTTCACTGCCTTTAGAGTAAGTAGGAAATTGGTAGTGACTTGAAGCAAGATTGTACTGAAACAATTATGTTTTACTTTTTACAGATTTTGTATAAAATGCAGACATTTGATGTACGATCTCTCATATTACGTAAAAAGTATGAGTTATCAAACAGGATGTATGGAACTTATGCGATACATACTTGTAACTGCATATCCCATAAAACCCGAAATAGATTTTTTCTCAGATACTGCAATGGTATGACATGCAGTCAATGTTGGGTGTTTATTATGTAGGGTATTATTTATTACCTATGCCTCCAAAGAATTAATAACTCATAAGTTCAAACCTTTTTTTATCCAATACCCAAAAGTCTGTATTTTAATATTTTATATCAATTTTTCTTCAGGAACCAGCCGGAAGCAATAGGTTTATGCGGGAATAGATATTTCTTAACTTGACTTTTTAAAATTTAATTTGACAGTGTTAAACTGCATATTTTAAGCAGATTTTTTTGCCAATTTCAAGCATTACTTTCGTTCGAGTTAATAGGTTCTCCGAAACATTAATTACTGAATTCCTGACAGTTTCGACTAATTTCCTATCAATTAAAATAAGTTCTGCTTGGCTGCTGCCTGGGAAAACGTGTTGGGTTTGCGATGCTTAGATATAGGTACATTATACATTACATGTATATGCAGGATATGCTGGTAATAAGTCCACATTAGCTTGGAAACTAAGAAGCCTGAAACCATATTTAAAACCATTTTTCTATTTTTAAGTTCCGATTAGGTTAAAGGCAATTTTATCAATAAGGAATATTTAATAATGTCCCAGATGTCACGGTTTATTGATGAACTGCGATTAAGTAAAGTTATAGATACATTTTCGAAGATTAAATCTTGTGATGGTATTTAAGAGCGTTAACATTATTTTTAAGCAAAGACCGCCAATAATTTAATGAGTGAATGAAGTTATTGAACAGATTAAAGAATGGTTAGCCATTTGTCTAATATGCACAGTTAGTACGTTAGCCTAAATCGAGTTATTTACCTTTGCACTGTTTTATTGATATTTCCTTGCTCTTAATAGCATCATAAAATCTGAATAACTTTACAAGTGGTCTAAGTAGGATAAGTAGAAGTAATTTGAGAGTTAATTGGAAGTGATGGCAAAAGTCCGTGTAAAATGTGAGCATGCGGCGCCGAACACTTCACGACTTGATGAAATGCCTACCTACTTGTTTCGCATTGAAGTGAGACATTAGTGTCAGATGATTGAAATATTGTTATACGTTAATCTTTAAATAGCTCTTTACGAAAGGACCAGCCTATATTTCGATTCACTCTGCACTCGCCACCGGAAATTATTTTTACCCTTGAGAATAACCTTGTTGGATGAATGGATTTCAAGAATATTCTACTTGTTAACTTGTTACTAGAGAATATATGAGCATCTTGACTAGATGCTAGTAGAAGATATTAATGGAAGTAAAATGTGTTAATGGATTGATTTTTAAATGCATCATCAGAAATGCTGTTCAACTGGGATTCGACCGTAACATAATAAACCAGCAGTGTTGTTTAGCTTTATAAAATTGCATGTCGTTTTTCATTCATTTAAAATACCATAGTGGCAAAGTCATAAAAGTTCAAACTGCTAATGATGTAATCATTTAGTGGAACTATACATTATCATTGTTTTTATATCTATAATTGACATAAATATGTCTACATAATGCTTGTTTTGTAAAAGATTTTGTTACATCATTATTCATATTTGAAGTAAATACAATTTACATCGTGTACATTGTACAGGGTGTTGCACTAAGATGAGTGAAGTACGATAGCAGGAAAACCATACACGTTACAGCCAGCTTCGGACAAATATTGTTATGAACAGAGCATGACAGCGCAATTACTATGATGCAACGAAAAGATCAAAAATTATTGCCATTTTACAAGCTAAAATATTGGATAAAAAGCGCAAGCAAAAAGTGTGGTAATTTTGAAGTCAAGTGGATTTTTTGGTTTTCTTTGCAATCATTTATATTTATAATGCATATTTATACTTTTTCATCTTTTTAATTGAACATTTTAAAGCGTTGTTTTAAAACAATCGATATTACACAACAGTCAACTAAAGACTGAGTCACAAAATCAAAAAACTAAAATRTCAATCATAGCTGGCTCTTCCTTAGAACCTCTAAATGATTTTGACATATTAAATATTGAACTGCACATACAGAGTGATTCAAAATTGGCGTCATTCCTCTGGAGGTGTTGTCTGGCGCTGTTATAGGAGTACAGAAAAAATAGTAAAAGGAATTAATT